GTCTTCTCCTTAATTTAGTGATTTTTTTTTCATTTCTCAATCCCTATTGGAAAAACTGAGACATAAGTTGCCAGGGAGACAAAATTGCCTTGCCACATTCTGTTTTACTGTACAATCCTATGTGTGTTTACTCAAGTAAACCCTATCAAGTTCAGTGGGACTTACTCTAAGTAAGCACATATAGGATTGTGGCTTAAGGGTACAAGGGCACGGCAGAAATTGCCCTGGGTGGCTGTATCTAAACATGCACTGGAGTGTACCCTGAAGGCCCAATCCTATGGCCGTCCAATGTTGTTTGGGAGGCCATACGATTATCTGGAGTCCCAGGTCTGAAGTCTATGACCTTGGTGTCCAGTCTCCAAAGGCACTCAAAAGACTCCATCACAGATGGTGCAGAAGAAGTGCACTGGCTGTTCCACCAAGGAATTCAGAAAGGCAGAAAAGGGGCAGAGCAAGTTGGGGCTGACAGTGTACTCCAATTCCTATTGGTACATTAGCCTTCTTCCCTCTCTCTTCCTGGTGCTTCAGCTAGGTAGCCAAAAGTAACCATCTAGATAAAATGTATGGTGTAAGGAAACACAGTGGCAAAGTTTACCATTGTTGTGCATCTCTCCATGCACTGGATGTACATAAGCATCCCAGCTCAGATGCTTTTATGATTCTGAAGTGGAGGGCATTGGAATGTATATTAGTTATTCATCATGTCTACAGATGCTTAGTTCAGTTGTTTCTCTGTCTTGTGGGAAAAGAAGATAGAAGCGTTAAAACAAAAAGTAAGTATTTTGACTATTTAATATTAGTCAAAGTATTTCCTTCCCTGAATATCTGCAAGAACATTATTGGGGGTCAACAGTACTGCATGGATTAACAACCCCCTTTTACAAATCTGAAGAGGTAAAAACATTTGTTTTCTGGTTAGAATCTTCCTCATGACCTAGAAAATGAGGTAGTATCCAATACTTTTCCAGTGCTAGCATAAACTAATGTCATTAGTGCTTGACAGGCCAAGGAAAAGGGGGATTTTCCCTGGCCTAGCAAGCATTATTGGCATTGCCCTAATACTGGTTTGTGCAAATGAAAGAACACTGAGACAGCACTGGATACTGCTCAAGTTTGTTTATCATAGTTATTGTGTTGCATAAAATTAACTAATTTGGCTTTTGGGATCACTGTGACTACTGTATCTCCAAATGTTTGTAAGCAAGCAGCACTCCTACTTCCTGCTATATGAACTATAATGCCATTCATAGTGAGATGTCCAGTGAGGCAGTATATTTCACACAAAGGATAGAAGACAATGTTGGCTGTCTTGGGGTTCCAACACATTTATGATGCAGATGAGGAAGGAAGAAGTACTCCAGCAACCATGGGGTTCAGAAGCTAACAACAGTTTACAGAATTCTGGACAGTGGGCGCTACCCTACCTGACCACACTCAAGGTTAAATATGCATTGTTTGTGAGGTCTTGTTGAACAGTAGGTTATTGTTGAAACATAGGTTGTTGCTTTGAGTAAACTTAGCTGTGCTAGCAAACCATTGTTAACTAGGAATAACCCACAGTTCGCAACCCAGCAACAAACCATTTGTGAGTTGTTCCTAGTTAACAAACTTTGTTTTGTTAGTGTGGCTGAGTTCACACAACACAATAGCCCAATTGCTTAGTTCACACAACAACAACAGCAGCAGCAGCAACACACAAATATTACTCAATTTTCAAAGTGTGTTGTGTTATGCAAACTCAACCTATTAACCACTTGTAACTTCTTTAGCACAATGTCACTTAGTCAAGGGATTAAATAAGGAAAATGGACACTGGTTGGCACATTGAAAAACAAACCAGAAATTCTGTTTCTAACCTGTACATCTAGAAGTATCTGCATCTATGTCTTTGGTTCCTGAGAATATTTAGCTTTTGTAAGTTGCATATCAGAAATAAGGAAGGACAGTGATTCTTTATCTAATGGATGACAATGCAGCAAGGAATCTCAGATCACATGCCAAGCTTGAGATCATTCTTTAGTATAATAAAACTAAAGGTGGCATAGATACCTGCAATCAGATTGTCTCCGTGTACACTTTCAAACATGGTTTGCTCAAATAGTGGCCAATAGTGTGGTTTTTTTAAGGGGAAAAATAGTGGGAAATACTTATAATATCCTGTGAAAATGTGAAAACAAAACATTGTCTCTTGCTAGGTCTAGAATTGATTAATCTCCAGGATGAGTCTACATTTACAGATAGCTTGCTTGCAATATTGAGAGAGGCAACCTGCAACCTGATAAGGCTTAACTCTGCTATCATTAAGAAAAGTGAATATATCTTCTCCAAGGTTCATGCAATTACAGAATATCACCATGCAATTCAGAAATGTAGCAATTCTGCATTGACTACTTAAGTAGCATATGTTGTGACTGCAAATTCAGTTCATCTTACAGATTATTCACAATTTATGGATATTGCATTAATATACTTATGCAACCATTAAAACTGTATGTTTCTTTGTTTTTATTTATTTAAAGCTTTTATATACCATCTTATTATTGGTGTCTCAGTGTGCAATTTGGTACACGAACCATTCTTGTATGTTCTGTACTTTACATTATAGGATATTATAGGCAAAATTAACTTGTGTGCAGTTATATTGTATTAGGGAAATGGAACTATCTCAATAAAGACATTACAAATGTTGACACACTTAACCACTTCCACCAAGTATTTTTAATATGGCTTGCTTGGGGTATTCTTGACACTAAACCCAAACAGGTAGTGATTTTTCTATTGATAGTGGGTTAAATTAAGTACACAGATTCCTTTTCTTAAAAAAATTACAAAGCTAGAGGAGTTCTCTTTTCCAGATTTTTGTGTAGAGTTAAGAATAGATTAAAGAAAAGAGCATAAAATCCACTGAACACAGCCAGTTCATTCATGTCAACAAACTTCATTATTTTATATCCAATGAAAAATGTTATCAAATGACATGAAAATGAAAAAAAAAGTTTAACTGTCACTCTCCTCCCCAGGATCAAATTCTGACAATGGGCACAATATAATATATTTTGGTCCATCCAGTCCAAAGAATCTTTCTACCTAAAAGACATAATCCAAATAAAATGACACATTTGATCAGTAAAACTAAGAGTTTCTGTTCAAATTATTGTTTAATGAAGGGTGTTAATTCTTGTATTAAAATATGAACAATTAACTATGCAAAAGGCCATATGATCACATGTCTTCTCTTTAAAGTAATTCCATGTATGGCACTTCTTTCATTTGCTGATGTGACCTAAAGAATACACTAATTTCTTCTCAAAAATGCTGCAAGAGGAATAACTAGATTTACTTAAAATGAACATTTTGTTTGAAAGCAACTCTCCACATATCAACATTCATTCCAAAGTTATTGCATATGACATAAAAAGAAAGCAGGCATGAGCAAAATATATGGCATTAAGATCCAGTTCACATGCACCAAGTGCTGCAGGGTGGCCACTTGAAACACATCTACTTGGATGCAATGTATCCACAAGGAGCAGGTCACTCCATCTTTTTTGTGTTTCTTGATTAAAGAGTTAGCAGTCCCCTCACAAACACCTAGCTATACAGGTATGCACTAGTTATCTAGAAGTTTGTGCTAAGATTCACTAAGATTTATATGAATCACTCCAAATGACTCAAACAAGTAAACCAAAGAAATTACTCCCACTATTAGATCACTTGACCTGAAGATAAACTTCTTCCTGATTTTAAAAATGCATTCATTTCTAAGCCATTTCTTATTTATTTCCATTTCTATGCCACCCCAAGGTTCTCTGGGGGGTTTACAATACTAGAACATAAAAGCCCCATCCCTAAATTATGACAAAAGTTATTAATCATATAAAACAATAAAATAATAAAGCACCACAAATAAAATATACTAACACCCACCCACCAGTAAACACAACCAACAAATTAACCAAAACTAAATTAAGATAAAACATCAATAACAAATTATTGAAGTATTTTAAATTAAGTTAAATCAACAAAAAACTTGTTTAGATAAAAAAAAGTTTCTTAGAAGTCAAAGAGATATGAACTATGATCTGTTCAGTCCAAAGTGCTTTTCTACTTAAAAAAATTCTCCAGCAGCAACACTGTATCTGCCTAGAATTAGACAGCTTCTGGCCAAAATTTAGAAATGTAGTTTTAACCATAAGGGTCAAACTGCATGTTATCAGAGTTTTGAATAATTTTGTTCCCACACTGTTTGGTTATCAAAAAGCTGTAATCTAGAGCACAGCAAGTGTTAGGTAGGGAAAAATCACCCTTTCTCTGCCAGTTCTTTCCCCCCTAAAAGTCACCTAAAGTCTTTTCACTTGAAACATCACTATTTTCAGGAAATGGAGGGAGAAGAAAGATAGCTTTGTGGGGGAAATTTAGAGAAGAAACACTTAAAGGCTTAACAGTCCTTCTCTGGTTAGCCTTCTTCTGTTTCTGCCTATAGTCTTCAGAAGTTGATTTCTACTTTTTTAAAGCACCATCAAACAAAGCAACCAAATGAGATGGTTGGGGCAGTTTGGCCTTTCACAAGCTACTTCTTACAATGGAAATGGAGGAAGACTCTCCTCCAAAGAAAATCTTATTGAGGTACTGATAAGAGTGTATTTCCCACCCATTCACCCTGCAACAGCCAGTTATATTTTTCCCTGAACAAGGAAGAAGTCTAACAACAGATTCTGTGAAACTAAATGCTGCAATAACTTCTATTTCATAACAGATATTAACAAGAAGAAAATATTCAAATTATCTTCACTTAGACAAATCCTAAGTATTATTTGCAATATACATGCAGTAGTAAGTACTGAAGTTTCTCTGTGATAGCCTAAGTATCACATAAATTCAAGCAAGTGGAATCCAGGTATTAGGAGAATAAATATTCAGTAAATGTAATCCATGCTTATTGAGTGAATTAATAAACATCTTACTACAAACAATCTGATTTAAAATGAGAAACTACTTACAGATTAACTTTCGTGGTGACCATTCTGGAACTGTCGAACCCCTTATTTCTCTGCTTTGCACTGTCCAAATCAGAGGAAACCTGCTTTCCATTTGTTGTGCCCATCTCACCATTTTCATGACTGTCAGTGGGCCGCTGAACATTGCCATCCGAGCTCTTGACAAGATGTGATTCCTTAGACTCTGTACTCCCTTCAGAAACTGGCAAAGTGCTACTGCCTATGATGCTTATGGAAGAAGCTTTAGTAGCATCTACAGTACTTTCACCAGAAGGCAACTTTTCTGCTGAAGGGCATTTTGATGCTGGATTACCATCTGTTGCCCCATCATTTGGTCTTCTGGTGTTAGAATCTTTTCCATAACTCTTTAACCCTGTGGGTGAAAGCGGACCTGCATCAGACTGATTCTTTTTCAAGGATTTTCTCCTGTATGGAGATGAAGTTGGGGCCTGCTGTTTGCTTTTCTCTAACTCTGTTTTAGTAAGTCCTTTGTGAATATTGCCAGCCCTTATGTCATGATTAGCTGTGGGAGAATGAATCTGTTGAGAAGCCTTCCCTTTTCTTTCAGAACTGTTAACTTTTTCTGATACCAAATCTGATGAAGGAGCATCAAGAGAAGGTTCTTCTTTCACAATGTTCTCAGTCACATTTTTATCCCCATTTGACATATCACTGGAGGACTGAGATTTTCTCCTCTTTCCAGACCTCTTTGTTACAGGTTTTTTATCCATTATGTCTATTCTATTACAGTCGTTGTCTATTACAACAGTCTCTGGTTCATACAAATTTGGTTGTTCAGTTTTACGAAGAAAGATATCCAAGGTCAATACTCTAGAGGGATGGACATGCTTACTCTGCTTAGATTCCAAAAGAACTGGTGCATCTTGTGATGCTGCATATTCCAATTGTTCAGAGTTTTGCACATCCACTAACTGTTTGTGGTTTAATGTGCTATGTTCGAGGTCTTCACTGGATATATTAGTTACACTTTTAAAGAAATCTGGAGTGGTGCTATTTGTTGTATCAGTGACACAATCACACTCTGCTTCCAATGTCTGGAGTGTAAGACTACTATCAAATACTGTATTTTTTATTGTTTCATTACTACTGTGCCAGTCAGTTGACCATTCACTGTCAGAAGAAATTCCTTTAGTGTTCCATTCTGAAACAATGTCATTATACAGAGGTGTCAGATCCTTGTTGTACAGATATTCTTCTGTGTCTTCAATAGTACTCCATAAACTTGACTGGTTTTGATCATAGGCCTGGTCAGTTAGAGACTCCTCGCTTTTGGATAGATCTTTAATGTCCTCAATATCAATTGATGCCAATGGAGCTAAGTTTTTGGGAGGAGATTCAGATCTTACATTTCTAACAGTTGGCCTTTGAGAAGTCTCTAATGAGTTTTTAGGATTTCTTCTTCTCCCGGTAATAAAAAAGTTTCCAAACTTTCCCAACACTGGTTTCTTTTTGTTTTCTTCCTTAGAAGATGCTGGGTTCCGAGTTTTAGACTGAACAAACAAACAAAAAATCAGAAAAAATAAACACAATTAGAATACATAATTGACTTTTCTATTTTTAAAAAAGGAAAACCAGAAGTAAATTATTCACTGAATAGCAACATTTTATTAAATTTATATTATGCACCTTTTGTTAAACACATACATTAATATTATTAAGTCAAGCCACATTATACATAATTATTTTATTATTTTATTTCATTTCTATACTGACCCACATCCAAAGTTCTTTATTAATGAATATCTTCATACGCACAGTCATCAAAACACATCAATGCTTACAAGAATGGTTCTCTAATGGATACTATATATGCCTGCTAAGAAGTACCACTGTGTTCAAGGGAGTTCACCCCCAGGTAAGTAGGCACAGGTTTATTTAAATATTTATCCAAGCCATCAAAAATTTTATGTATCCACATGCTTTGTGCTCCAATCCTATAGTTAAGTGTAAATTCCAGTGAATGCAAACGGGCTTACTTCTGAGTAGACATATTCCTTCCGTTATGTAAGTACAACATAACCTTTGACCATGCAGAAAAAACAACGGCCAGCTTTATCTGAAAATGCCTACAGGAGTTTTAAGAGAGTTGGTACAAAGGTTGCAATCTCCTCACTTATAGTTCCATTCCTTTGGTAAGAGGTATCAGTAGTATATACAGCCTTGCGGTGCTTGGCAGCCACCCAACATTATGCTGCCAAAGGATGGGACCCGATCATTAACATTCCGAATTCCTACAGGAACGTCATGCAGCCAACCAACGTCCTACACGGGGCAAAAGGAATCCCACTCACCACTTCCTTCCCCGCACTTTACTTCAAGGCATCAGGGAGCCCCAAGGAAATAAGAAGGGCGCTAGACTCCCGATCCATCCCCAGAGCCGAACAACGGCCCATTTTGGGCTACTGTGATGACGACACCAAGTCGGGTTTCAACCCCAGGGGTGGCCCCTCCGACAAGCCGCATCCCGCTTCCTCCACTTCTCGGGCATCCTAGTCGTAGCGCCCAGGCAGAAGCGCGAGGAGTACGTGCGCTGCCGGGAGAGCGCGCTCGCTCGTCCCGCCGTGCTCCACCAACCTCTCCCTCGCTCAGCTCCAAGTTAGGTCAGGTCGGGAGACAGGGCTCCCTCCCGGCAGCACGGATTTGTTCGGAACTTCCTCTGGCCAGCGCGCCTCCACCACCCTCCGTTCCCGACTCGCTCGCTCGCCCCTCGGGGTTCCTTGCGCTCACCTCGCAGCGCGCGGCGGGCTCGCTTCTTGCGGCGGCGGCCCCAGGCACGCGCTTGTCGCCCACCTCGGCCCGCCCTTGCGTCCGCGGCAGCTCGCGAAAGGAAGGCGCCCAGGCCGGCTCTCTGGCAGGCGTCAACTGTCTGAACGCCGGAGCCCGCCGGCCTGCCACGCCCGCCCGAGAGGGTGCCCGCCTCCGCCTCCAGCACCCGCAAGGGCAGCTGCAGCGGCGCTACCTGGCACGGGCACCTCAGGCAGGGCGGGAAAGAGGTGGGCAGAGCTCCAGCCGCCGCCCAAAGGGACGGCGGGAAAGAAGAGAGGCAGAAAAAGTAGCAAGAGTGAAACCAGGCGAGCTGGGCAGGTGGGAAGAGAAGAGGAAGTGGCGGCGCATCTCCCTCATTTCATAAAGCACAGAGCCAGAACGCGAAATCCTGAGTTCTCTAAGCGTGTTTAAATTGCATCTGCCTTACCACAGAATAACTGACAAACGGCAGGGCTTCCAGTCACACCTGAGCCCCAAGCCTCATAAAGGGATGCGACACTCGTTACATGCAATCCGAGGGGTAATGGAAGCTATTTGAGTCCATACTTTAACCCCGAGAATAATCTGGAGCACGCATTGTGTGAGGTAATAAGGCAGCATATCATTTTAGGAATTGGCACTGGCAAAGGGGTGAATGGGGGCATGGTTTCATAATCATAATTTCATAACAGCCACCTCATGTCTTTGTGTATGAGTATTAGAAATGGTGAGAGATGCAGCACACCAAGGTGCAAACAGCTGGTTGCTCAAAGGTGGCACACAAGCAACAGAATTTTCCAGAGAAGGGAAGAGTGCCAACAAGCACAATGCCCATGAAATGAGATCCTTCCCTAATTCTGTTTGCCCTGCACAAGCCCAAGCAATCTCAAGTGCTGCTGAAGAAAGGCATTTTCTCATCTACTTCTCGTCAAAAAGTTGCCTCAAGCAAAACCGACGAACTTTGATGCTAGAGTAAGGAGCCAACAGTTCTTGTTGGGTTAAAAAAAGCATCACCAACACCCCAATTTGACATTACCTCAGCTATAAAAGAAAGCTTGTAACCTACTAGCCAAGGAAGTTTGCTTGAAATAAGTAATACGGTGGGTTTTTCCCCTCCAGTAAGGGAGCTGATCTGTGTCTATACTGATTTTTGAATTCCTCCTGACTTTAAGGGGTATCAGTGACCCTATTAAGCAGGGGGTGATACACACTTTGATATCAAGTGTTGACCAGCTCAAATCTTGGTCTGTCACACCATGACTGCTAGTGGAACTTAAAAGTAAACAAGTCTGGAATCTCAGAATAGTTTTGTTTTGCTTAGAAAAAATTAGTAGAAAAACTAAACATTCAATTTGGTAAACTAGAATATTTCAATATTCTTGACATATTGTAGTACAGTATAGAATATATATTAAGTCCAGGAGAAAAGACAATTGGCAAAAAGAAGGGTTAATGAATTATCAGTGTACAGATCACAATTTAAGTTGGTTTTAAAGAGTCAATTTTTCATTTTCGTTGCTTCTGAATATCACTGGATATCAATTACTGTTTTGCTCACTGTTTAGGTCAGTGCAGGTACTCAAACAATACTTTAACAGATTTATAGCACTATTAAAGAATAGTCTCTGGTAAATACGAGAGTTCTGTATATATGCCAGATAGGTTTTAGCCTCACTACTTTGAATGTAAAATGTGCATTGTTAAACATACTCAACAGTCTGATGCAAATTTGCAGAGGAAGTTAGTGCTCTTGTACCAGCTGAATTGCTTTTGAAACAGAATACTGGTTGTGCTACCTACATGATCCTAATGATAGGCAATGGACAAGTAAGCTAGTGAGCGAAAGGTGCAAATTTAGAAATGTGGATCCACACCCTTTCCTCCTGTTCACAGCCTGGAAGTGACTTTTTAAAAAAGCAAGGACTAAAATGTCCTTAAAAATCCTAGTTTAAGACAAGAAGAAAGTTTCCCAGCACTGACTGCTGACTCTAGACGGTATTTACAATATCAACTTAGAAAAGAAGATTGTTGAAATCTAACCTTGCCTTTACAAAGGTTGTGAACTGGAATTCATTATTACAGGTGTTTATTGACAATGATATTTTTAAAGACTGCACTGAATGTTCAGTTTCTGCCCTCTTAAACTCCCCCTTCAGCATTGCTGTAAAAGCTTCAGTATGTATATATTGTATGTTTAATTGAATTAACAGAATCCTAACCACAAGTAGTTGCTTCCACACTACCAAATGACAGAATTGAAAGGATGAAGATAGTGGGCTCAATTTATTATAGAGGAACTCCATACATATGGGTTCTCTGATACTGTGTGCTCCATAAATTTAATTAACATTACAGGAGACCTTAGCTCAAGAATCTATTTTGTTCCAGAAGTCTTAGTCAGGGAGCTGCTTGGGAGCATTAGGGGTTTGGAACCACAGAGGCAAAGACGGAATTAGAATGTATCTACTTTCTCTTGATTAAAGAAGGTCATTCCCTACAAACAGTGGATACATGCAGATACCAGCCTGACCTGCCATGCCACTACTCAGCTGATTAAGTCATGAAGCATCTCTGAACTGGTTAGTCAAAAGCTCTGGTGAGGAACATGGACCAAATCTGAAGCTTCTCACTACTCAGCCAAGTTGCCAAGGCCAAGCAGCTCTTTGTTATGACAATTATGCTACAGTATCCTGCATAGCAAACCAGCTGGAAAAAACCTAAGAACGTAAGAAGAGCCATGCTGGATCAAACCAAAGGATCTAGTGCAGCACTCCATACATATGGTGGCAAACCAGCTACCCACAGGATCTCTCAGGCAGGATGGGTACAAGATCTGCCCAAGCTCTGCTAAAGGAGGTGATACACTACCACCCAGGCTAGTCAACCTGTAGCTTCCTTCCACATGAATATGTTCAATTTCTTTTTAAAGTTATCCAGATTGGCATCCATCACCACTTCCCATGGCAGCAAATTAACTATACACCGTGTGAAGAAATATTTCCTTTTTTCTGTCCTAAACAAGGTTTAGGTAGGTTTGAGTGTTATAGTAGAGAGAAACTTCTACCTCTGTACTTTCTCCTCAACATGCATTATTTTAATGTCTATCATGTCTCCCCTTACTCACCTCCTTTCTAAGCTGAACAGTTCCAGTTAATAGCAGAGCTGCTCCAGTCCCCTCAGTGATTTTGTTGCCCTTCTCTATACTTTTTACAACTCGATAATGTCCTTTTTCAGGTAAGCCAACCAGAACGAAACACAATATTCTAAGTGTGGTCATAACAAAGATTTGTTTAAGGAGAGTAAGATCTTGGAAGTTCTATTTTCTATTCCATTACAAATTAGGTCTTTTTACAGCAGTTGAGCACTGGGCCAATATTTTCATTGAGCTGTCTACCACTACCCCAAGATTCCTTTCTTGCCCAGTCACTGCTAGTTCAGATCCCATCAGTGTCTACTTGAAGTTGGGATTTTTTGCACCAACATGTATTACTTTACATTAGTTTACACTGAACTGTATTTGCCATTTTGATGCCCACCTTCCCAATTTGGAGAGATCCATTTGGAGTTCCTCACAATCCTTCTTGGTTGCAACCACCCTAAAAAGTTTAGTGTCACCAGTAAACTTTGCCGCTTCATTTCTTACTTCTAATTCCAGATCACTTATGAATAACTTGGAATGCATTGGTCTTAATACAGAACTCTGTGGGACTCCACTGGTCACATCCTCCCACTGGGAGAAATTGAC